GCCTTCATTGAACACCTTCAAGACGAAACTGGATGCTTATCTTGCTGGGATCCTATGACCCCAGCTGACTTCCTGCCCTTTGGGCAGGGGGCTGGACTCGATGATCTTCTGAGGTCCCTTCCAGCCCTATTGTCTATGAAATCTATGAAATTAGTGAAAACACATAGTCAAAGTTTGAATTGATGAGACTGTAGGTGAACCATGACCAGAAACAAATGTCTGGTGAAGCATGACAAACCTGATTCTTTATTCAACCAAGCAACTGATTAACATGAGTCACCAAGTGAATCAAGTTACAACACAGGCAAAACCTCTAGTCCAGGCAGAACCCTGGAAAGAATATAAGGGAACAGATGGAGACTGGAGCTCCAGATAAGTTAGGTCACTGAAGGTACCTATTGATTTGTTATGGATTCCTCCCTAGCTAAAGGGCTACCCTTTCAGTGTTGGGTTCAAGGGGAGCAGTTCTTTAGAATGCTCCTTCTAGCTGTTGAGCTACCATATTTACCAAAATCCAAGATGATAAGATTACCCGTGCCTGACAGTAAATGTCAGGGAGCGGAGGGGGCAGAGGCTGTGGGAAGCAGGTGGAGACAAGGGAATCAGTGGTGTTAGGGGACAGGTGGCTGCTGTGACTAACTCCAACCCCAGGCCTGGGTTGGGGCTGGAGCTGCAACAGCTGCCTGCCCCCTAACTCGCCATATACTCAAATCCCAGATGAGGGGCTTCTCCCCCTCCCCCCACATTGAATTCAGTGGGGGGGGGGGGGGGGGCTCATCCTGGATTTGGGTACATAGGGTATTTACACTTTGGTGGTCATCACAGCAGAATGAGCTCCACCTGCGCCTTTAGCAGCGGGTAAGAACTCCGACGTGCTGGGAAGCAGGTACAGCAGCTTCCCTCGACATAACAGAGCGCCCTCATCATTTAGAGCAAAGAGAAAGTCAGGATACAATAAAAACCCTCCCAGAAAGGGGTAAAAAGCCCCTAAAAAGCAATGTTGCAGATATACTTTTAAACAGAAAAAGAAAAATGCTACTTCTCTAATGGGGAAAAAACAGGGCCTGGGAGCACTGGGATGCATGTAGCTGGGGAAAGGCCTGGCAGGAATCTGATTGTTTGCCCATGAAATGATGCTGGGGGACCCCCGGCCATCCCCCCTAGCCCAGCCTGTCTCTGATCCCAGGGAGATGCAGTTTTACCCATGTGACCAAGCCCAGGCTCAGACC